TCCTTCCCATCCCATATAATGCTAATTTATTAAATAAGTTTTCACTGTGTGTACCGAAAAAGAAAAAAAAAACACCGATGTAAGCGGTTTGGTAAGTACTATCTCATCTTATCATGATTCTCTAGTAATCTGCGTTGCCGTGTTGAAACAAACATCAAGAGGTGAAGAAAAGTAAGAACATGTAATCGCAGCTCTTGTGTCATTGGTGACCTCGTAGTTGCCCCCTTCCAGTGCCAACAAAAACCGCATAAAATGTCCATTACTATCCCTTGTGGAAAAAAAAATGAAGAATGCAGTTTCGGCAAAGCCCATACAATACACATGCATTAAATGCATAAGGCCGCCACCAAAAGGGCCAACACAATCAGTCTGGCTCTACAAATGCAATTCATCGTGGATGGATGCAGCAGTTTTTACAGATCAGTAGTTTCAAACGCAGTTAATCGCATAAGGCACCACCAGTTCTCTGACAACTGGCAACTCGCCATGTTCTGGATATGCAGTTAACAACACAAATCACATCCGTCCAGTCGTAAGGCATTCCAAATGAAATCCGCAGTCTCATAGTGCCACGCCATGCACTCAGCCCTGTTGCTGAGCAATGGAGCTACATGCCTTCAGTCTACATACTGTGGAAACTGGAACGGCTAACTATCGTCAGAAATACACAAAAACGTGCCCTGAGTAAAATCAGTAAGCCTGTATATCCGCCGTATTTATCGGAAGTTAAGAGGGATCACTAACGTGCTTCTTTTAAGAGGGCTCCAGAGGACTATATATGCCCGCAAAAGCGCAGTGGCTAGAGAGCCATCTACTATCCAGAAGTTCTTGGATTCAAATTCTAATCGTGATGATTTTTTTCTCCAGAAACTTCTTGGCTCCCAGACCGACCCAGTCTAAAATGGATCGCAGCTAACGTCTTCGGAAGTAAAGGCGGCCTCGTAATGTTGACCACATGATCTATCAAGTGCTATAACAATATGAGTTTAGCATGTTAGGCCGATATGTTACTTTGCTTTATTCAGGGGCTATTTTGTTTCTTTTACCCATTGTTTGCATAGAAAGATAAGTATATTGTTTATTTTTATTCAATATCCTGGCACACAAGGGTAACCCATAAGTGCTCCTAACTCTAGCCTGAGTCTAAAGAATTTCAACGCAGTGTACGAACTCCGTTGCACCAGCGAGGATCCTGAAATACTTTGGGTAGATTTTTAACTCCAAATTTGGCCCGGGCAGCGCCGTTAGGCTACTCTTTTTCGATTTCCAACTGCTGAGGCATTTTCTATACGGGCGTAGGAATACACTCGGGCTTCCGGTCTTACTACCTAGAAACCAGGGCACATTACTAGAAGTCGACGTGAAAAAAAATCCCATCCTTCACAGGGGTGTGAGCCCTGGGACCTCCAGCACTCGAGGCGGATGCTATACCCAGAGACCACTCAACCCCCCACCCTCTCCCTCCAAGGCAAGATAAGAATACCAAATATGGTCATTTAGCTCTTAGCTTGGGAGTCGAGATAGCTCGGTGGCGAGGAGGGTAGTCATGAGGTTGAATCGTCAATCAGGCGGGGGTTTATTTTAGTTACTTGTTCTTCAAGATCAGTCAATCTTAAAGGAGATTAAAGGGATATTACAAATGTATTTTCAACTGCCAAGGGGTTTTTTACGTGCGCAACAATACACACGGGCGTCTCACCTCACTACCTACAGAAGCAATGTGTGACCTTCGAAAACATTGCTGATTGTGATGTGATGTGAAATGAAAGCATGTTAATGGAATTAAATGATTCGGTATTCGTGTATTTTTGTGTGTATTGATAGTTCGAATAATTATTTGCATTTCTAATGGTCTCCTTTCCCGTAGCCATAATACTGATACTTAAAGAGTTGTACATATTTGGCTAGTAACACATACCAAATAATTTACAAGAAATCTACATTTTTTTTTTTTCAATCAGCTTCAGTAACGACCCTCGGAGACTTTTGAAACATCTGCACTCTTGACCCAAAGATATATGTTCAAACGTGAACCAACGACCTTCATCGAATGTTATAAATGACTTAACCACTACGCCACTGGAATCCAAATCTATATTCACCAATACAAAAACATGGAGTTTTTGCTTGCAGTTTATATTCATAGATAATACAGATAATTCAAGAGATACAAATTGTTGTGATAGCCCGGGTCAGAGTTGAGGATGAGATCTCGACATAGGTCACTTACGTGCAGTTTATCACATCTGACAGAACCAGTCCAGCCCATGGCCTTTGCCTGCCCGGGCTGTTTGAGCTCACCATAGAGGACAAATGTTAATCAGGCTTCGACAGTGTCACTCAATCATCCCCACAATTAAGATTGGCTGCTAAAGGTCTAAAACTCTTTCAAGTGAACGCTATCTCAGACTGCTGCTCGTTCGTCTCTTTTCGCTTGTATCGCATTGTACCTTTAAAATGTCCTTCAAATATTGTTTTAAGCAAAGTGTTCCTGATGTAAAATAAGACTGACTTACATTCATCCACATCCTAACTAAAAAAAAAAAAACACACACACATTGAATCGCTTAGATGAGGAGATAAAACAGATGCAACCCAAGTAGAGAAACGCCTTTCTTCTTCTTCTTGCTTTTGTCCTACCGCTTGCTACAAAGCGTCTCAGAGAGGAGTTAGATATAGTAATTTTCTTGTGTTAGCCGTGTAGACTGTGTTTATGTCACGCTGCGTTTCAATTGTGTTGTAGCACAGCTCTTTTCTTTGTGGCGTACGTTGATGTCACACCCAGGTTCGTCTTTAGGTTTTGCAACAGGAGAAGTCGATTGGAAGATTATAGACGAGTGGAGAAAGATGGTCGTGTCGATAGTGGTGATGATGATGATGTCTTGCTAGCTGCATGCCTTTCAGGTGACTCTGATGCTTGTACAATAAAATGGCCGGAAACAACAGTTCTCGTCTATACTGTCTTTATTGTGATACTTCAACAATGTCACAAATACATCAATGATATTCTGAATAACGCTGTGTTCTCTCTATGGCTAAATACTCTTAGGTTCGCGTTGTGTTCTTCATCTTTAATTGCTTTGTTAACTGGCTCCAGTGTCTGTAACTGCCACCTGACTTCTAGTGCTGTTTAGTATTAACGGCTTGATCGTCGACTCTAACATCTCTATAGTGTTCCTAATGTGTCTCTGTTAACCATGGATCCAGGTATCTTGTGTGTCGTCTCTGTGGCTCGATGTCTTGTTTAATGTCTGCTCTCTAGTGACTGTCTTTGAGGTTCCATATAAACGGCTACTCTCCTTCCAGTGTTGAGCTGGCATCGAGGATCATTGAGACTAGTCGCTCGTCCTCTGAGTCTCAACGAATGAAGGCTTCTAGTGTTGGGCTTACATCTCTACGACTGAAGCCTGTTTTGAGAGTCCATGTGACTGGTCTCTCCTCTCTTGAGTCTTGTGGACTGAAGAATTGCTCTGGGGTGCTTTGTTACTCGTTATTTATGTTTGGATGCTGGAATGCTAGGTATTTGTTTTCTCCGGCTTCTAGAATATTCTAGTACGTCTCAACTTGTTTACTAGGTACGTTCTCATGTGGGATTTTCTAAAAATATCTAAAGTGCATCGGATTTCATCATCCTATTCTACGCAGATAAAGTAGTTAAATTGACAGCTGTCCTTCTAGAAAACAAGTATAATTGCGTTTGCCTTGATAGGGCACGACAACAAGGTATTTACTAGTACGACAAGGTTGGGTCACATGATGAAAAAAATGCATTTCAAAACTTCTAGAAAGAAGGCCAAGGCCAGACAACATCAGTTTGATGTCAACAGCTAGTTTTGGCGGGAAAAGAAGATTCTGGAAAAGGGAATGTCAAGGTTATCAAAACTTGCTGATTTACTTTTATTCTAGCTTTATGCCTCCTAACAAACAAGCTATGAGCTCACTCTGTTACAGTGTCTCTTTTACTCCCTCAGCCCATATCTTTCTCGTTCGACCTCTGGACTTGTAGCATGCAGTTCTTATGTAGAAGCGCCATGGCAGTGAAATATTAGAGAACCTCCTCAGACCTTCACTGAAAGCATGGGGCACGAGAACAGAAGCTCTGGACAATTCAACAGGCTGTGAATATTGCACTAGAATATGGGAAAGGTTAACAGCGACATATCAACAGGTAGAAAATATCGAAATGATTAGCCCGTTGCTGTACATTGTCTGCAAGAATCTTCTCTTAATGAAAAGTACCTTCAAAATCAGAGGTCACACTTGTGTTCGATATTGATGAAAAAATTGGGAGGGGTGGGGGAAGAATATAACTAACTAAAGAATGTAACCAAATTTAATAATCTTTGGTGGAAGAGGCGGGGGGGGGGGGGTAAAATAAAACAAGTATCAAAGCAAGGAACATTAGGCAGGGAATACAGTTTAACATTGTCTGAGTTGCTACTTCTAGTGGTAATGAGACAGAGGATAGTAAACTTTTTTAACAATGTAATCTTCAACGTTTACAACTGCAGCCAACTTCCAAGAAGAATAAATGAGTCAATCAATCAATCAATCAATTGATGAACTGACATCACTGCACTAGGGACATTCTCACCCGTGCTCCATCCACTTCTGCAGCAGCCAACAAAGAGTCGTCGTTTTAATAATACCAATTGTAACCTGTTTAAAAGTCCGTCTCTGTTTTCCCCTCAAAGTTCAATACCTTCCAGAACATCTACACATCCCCCGTTGAATGAGTCTTTGAAAGTATGGATTCTCCATCTGTTCTATTGCCCTGTTTATTTGATCCCAGAAAGCCTTCATCCTTTCCGCTTTATCATAAAGTAGCTCACTGCCCAGAGGGGCGGCAACAACTAATCTATCAGTTTGCTCTTTACTTCGCATACCTGAATATCCTCAGCCAAACCTAAATTATTGTTATTTATGCTGTTAATGATACTTTTAATAACAACGCAAATAAATTATTTTTGTTTCCACTTCACAGTTTAGATCTTCTGCCCATGAGATCCATATGGCCTGAAGTGTTTGTCTGCCCTTGGACAGGAATGCAAAGAGACAGATACGGATGTACGTTCCATTATTCTTTTTACTGAAGCTGTTTCCTTTTTTCCCCCAAAGCCTATCTACCACCACTTGAAATATTTTACTGTCAGGAGACCTGTGAATTTCCCCTGTTTGGGGTAGGATATTAAGAAAGCACATAGACCATTAAAATGAAGTATAATTTACTGGATAGATCATTATAGTTTTTAAAAAAAAAATATTATTGGTAAACTGACAGTTAGTGAGAAAATAACTTCAATGAACATGACAGTAAATTTATTTTGATATATTTAAACTCTTTTTACCTATCCAAGCCGTCTGAGGACTGTCTGTTACACAAGGGTAAAGGTAGCGTCACCTTTACAGGTGTCCAAAACAATTTCTTTAGCGATTGAACAGAATATATGTCAGTGTGCCATTAAGGATGCGACTCTTGAAATCACAAGGGTGGTCAAACTTCAAGTAGCAGGTGGGGAAAACAAACAGAGAGACAAACAGGCAAATAGACAGTTTGGACGTTTAATTTCGTTACAGTGGCCTGTTAAGCGATTGGTTATCACATATAGCGCTATTTTATGTCGCTAAGGGTTACCAGTCTATTCCTCTATTCCGCTCTGTCTTGTGCAATGACGAATATATCATGGGTAGAATCAAGTCCAGCACTTTTGGCTTCTCTTATTAATGTTCGCCTAAGTTTTTTTTTTTTTTTAACGTCCTCATTTCCCCAAATTCCTATTTTAGTGCCAGTTTGTTGGTTGTCTGTTTGTCTCTCCTCGGAATGTACCTAATATAACCACATCTTCTGTCTTGTAACAATTGACAATAGTGTTTGTCCAAACATTTGACAATTGTGGTTATCCGGACATTTGACAATAGTGGTTGTCCAAACATTTGACAATAGGGGTTATCCAAAATTTGACAATAGTGGTTATCCAAACATTAGACAATAGCGCTTATCCAAACATTTGACAATAGTGGTTATCCAAACATTTGACAATAGTGGTTTTCTAAACATTTGACAATAGTGGTTATCCAAACATTTGACAATAGTGGTTATCTAAACATTTGACAATAGTGGTTATCCAAACATTTGACAATAGTGGTTATCTAAACATTTGACAATAGTGGTTATCCAAACATTTGACAATAGTGGTTGTCCAAACATTTGACAATAGTGGTTGTCCAAACATTTGACAATAGTGGTTATCCAAACATTAGACAATAGCGCTTATCCAAACATTAGACAATAGTGGTTATCCAAACATTTGACAATAGTGGTTATTTAAACATTTGACAATAGTGGTTATCCAAACATTTGACAATAGTGGTTATCCAAACATTTGACAATAGTGGTTATCCAAACATTTGACAATAGTGGTTATCTAAACATTTGACAATAGTGGTTATCCAAACGTTTGACAATAGTGGTTGTCCAAACATTTGACAATAGTGGTTGTCCAAACATTTGACAATAGTGGTTGTCCAAACGTTTGACAATAGTGGTTATCTAAACATTTGACAATAGTGGTTATCTAAACATTTGACAATAGTGGTTATCCAAACATTTGACAGTAAAGGTAAAGTCGGGAGATGTGTACCATCGTCATTGCACACGGTTATAAACCATAAGTGCTCTGCCACCAGTATGGACAGCTGATAATAAACTGTCAGCCTGTGTCGCCGTCCCCACGTAACTCTGTAGCTACAGCGGCGTTCCTCCATTTACCCCAGAATGTCACTCAAGTACCCATTTCCTAGAGGCTGGGTAAACAATAGTAGTTTTTCAAACATTTTACATTAGTGGTTGTCCAAACATTTGACAATAGTGGTAGTCAAAACATTTGACAATAGTGGATGTCCAAACATTTGACAATAGTGGATGTCCAAATATTTCTCTTATCTGTCCCTTGCTTGAATTCCTCCTATTTTATCTCCGACAGACTGTGTTAAACCCACATTTTCTTACTAGAATAATCAGCAATCGATGAGGGATGTGGTCACCACTAGGCAGATCACCTTCACATGACATTTCTGATATCCATTTTAAGGCTGGATAGATCTGAGGGCCAAGACCAATTATTATTTTTAAAAGATAGGCAGTGTAGTGTATGTGATGATGAATGAAAATCTACCTTAACCTCAGAAACGAAGTAAATAATGTTTTTTATTAACTGTACACGTAAGTAGTTTACACCTAATTTTCAGAATATTATTAACATAATTTCCTTTACAGCACATACACAGTCACAGAATCTAATTTCAAATATGGGTTTGTACTGATTCCTTCTCATCTCGGAAGTAGCCTTGGCGTAGCGGCTAGATGTTCTTATGCGGATGGGAAGGTCGTGAGTTCACTTCCTGGCAAAGCCCGACATTTTTCATAATGACCTTGACTCCCAGGTCGACCCAGCCTTCAGTAGGTACCGGATGCAGTTTCATGAAGTAAAGGCGGCTGGCGTGATGCTGACCATATCACCCATCTTGTGCCGATTGGTCTATAAAAATATTGGTCTAGTTCTATATGCCCCATACGCCTACAGGCGCGAAAAAGGGATCTTTACTTTACTGTTTACACCTTCTCATCTCACCTTATCTTGATCCTCTTGTACCTTGCGGTATCAAGGTGAAGTATCATTTACGGGAAAGAGCCCGTTTGTGATTCCTTATACTTACAGTATACAAATTAAGATTTCTCAAAACATCTTACTCGTATATTTTCAGTGGTTAGGCGAGTCGGTCACCCATATCAGAATCGAACCCCGCCGAAACGTAAGAAGCCTAGAACAGCCTTTACTCGACAACAGGTCTTGGAGCTGGAGAAGCGGTTCACCCGGCAGAAGTACTTGGCGTCTGCGGAGCGGTCTGCTTTGGCCAAAACTCTCAGCATGACTGACGCTCAGGTTAAGACATGGTTCCAAAACAGGAGAACCAAGTGGAGGTAAATATTTACAATATCAGTATTTCAAATATGCATAGTTTATGTCATTCAAATAATTTTCTGTGTTATGAGTTATGATTTGGGTTTTCTTCACGGCACTCTGGACATGACCATATGTTCTCAGATTCCCCATTCAACATATACCTCAGCGTCCCGTGGTTTATGGTTCTAGGCAAGGAGACAATACCCGCTTACGAATTTTAAAAAAAAATAGGCGTTGGGAGATCAAGGGATTAAGCCTTGCTTAAGAGTATAATAATAATGGACTGAATGGCAAATACGTATAATTATATATGAAATTATAGTAAGTAAAGTAAAGGATACCTTGCCACGCCTTCACGTTTATTGGGTATATAAGTATAGTATATTTTATAGACGCGTCGGCAGTCAGTGGGTGATGTGGTCAATATCACGAGTGTCGCCTTTACTTCCCAGGATTTCACCTCTTAAACATTTAAAGCTGGGTCGACCTCAGAGCAGAGGTCATTTTTATTTTTATTTTGAGAAGTCCTTCTAGCTCCGTTCTGATCTGAAATAACCGGATTTGAATTAACAAACACTAAGATAAAGAACTTTACACGATTAATGGGGATAGGGTGGGGGCACTATATGTCCTTAATATAATTGGGGGAGGGGCCGCTGAGGTCCCATAAACATATTTCGAGAGCTGAGGTAGAGTGCTCACTTGCCCCCCCCCCCCCCCCCCGCCCCCACACTCCCTGAGGCTCTGAAGCACCTCAAGTAGGGTCGAAAAGAATAGGTGAGACATGAAACAGTAGAGTTACATGAGCAGTTAAACATCGATCCTCCTGCTGACTAGCCTGGTGAGAATAATAGGTTAGTTGCGCCTCCTTTACAGGACGTTGCAGAACCAACCCTAACAGCCCCTGGCTGTTCTGTTGTTTTTCTAGGCAAATTTACGTCCAGTCGTTTACCATTGCTTCTGGACGGTCGGCTTTTTTGACACCACTGTCGAAACCGACGCAAGACGCATGGCCCGCAGCTGGGATCGAACCCGGCATCCCGGCATTACGATGCGTTCGCATCGACTTAGCCACAGAGCCGACGGTGAGAATAATGGTGGTGGTAATAATGACGGTGATGATGACGACTCAGACGACGACAACGATGATGATGATGAAAACATAGGGGAAGTGTAGCGATTGAGCTGACGTTGATGTATATAAAATACTTTAGTTTGGAGTTATTGTATGGCCACATTTGTTTTCCTATTCTTCCTTCAACTTTTTGTTGTAATATCTGCGTAGTGAGCCCACCCCTCTTTGCTAAATTGATAGCACTTATGTTATTTTCGAAATTATACGATCCTATTCCCACTGAGATATTTCACTGCCTTGGAATCGACAATATAGACAGCGTGTGGAAACATTCGAACATAAAATAAACTTGAACGGTACTATCGCAACGGCTGTGGTTTAGTTGCTAGCATGAAACCGGTGGGGTGATAGTATTTTATTTTATTTTTTCGAATCTTTTTTGTAGGTGGGTAATTCTTCTTTCGTAAATTCCGATATCGACACAGCACAAAATATAAGAAATATTCTGAGAAATAAAAGTGTTCTGTGGATATTTACCACATCATCCATATTCTCCTAGTTGTTCTAGAGGGACTAGTGTTGTTTGTCCTTCACAGGTGATGATGACCAATCCTTTCATCCATTGGTGACTGGCTTAATTTTTGTGAGGGTGCAGATGGCTGATAAGCCCAATTCTAGCATTGAAAGTTCTTGGGCAGTGTGGACAGGGAATTGACATCAACATTGTCATACGAGAGACATAACGCTGATAGGCTTTCAGTTTCGTGGAAATTTGTGTTCACTTAAAAGACTGCATACTATGTGTGAGCAGCGAGAAATTAAAAACCATACCGGAGCCATGCGTGGTTACATCAACAAGAACAAAGAATGAGAGTTATTAACCTAAAAACACTTGGAGACACACTTAGGAGGAGATCGGAGCATTTATGGTCATGTCCGATGTGTGATAAAGAGGATCTTTAAATGAACTATGAACAATGAAATGAATTTAGCAATGTTGATTGCATTACTGATCATCGTTTAAGTCAGCATGATTCATTCACCACTTTGTGAGAAGATGAAACATACAGGCATCACGTAACAAGATTTATGGAAGGCTTAGGCTAAGATCCAGAAACCATGAGTTGTAAACCCTTTAGGTCGGTACTATGGATATCGCAACCCTTTGCCTTGATTCTGTGATTCTTCTCCTTCTTCTTCTTCTTCTTCTTCTTCAGTATTCCGAGCCCATGAGGTTCATCGCTGCAGATATCCCCCGTCTCCATTCATCTCTCTGGTTGGCCTTCTCTTTCCAGTTGGTGAAAACAAGTGTTTGCAGATCTGTCTAGACATTATCTCTTCATCTTCTTCTTGGTTTGCGTCGTGGTCTTCAGTCATTCATCTCTCTTGTTATACATTTTTTTTTCTTTGTCACCTGACATTTTTTCAGTATGCCCCAACCATTTCAGTCTATTAGCTCCCACGATGCCAGTGATGAGTGGTGATTTGAACAGATTAAGAATTTCGTATGATTCTGTGATAGATACAGTAAATCTTGGAAATATGTGGCTTTTCTTCTTCTTCTTCTTCTTCGCGTTCACCAGCTGTACACTCTGGAGGAAAGTTCTGGTTGATCGTCCACTACTGAACTGCAGTCCTGCTTCAGAACCTGAGTGTTGCGTGTGAATCAGTTTTACAGATCTCATTCTCTTGAATACAGACTGTTTGTTCCTTACCTCTCCGGCAGATGCACTCCGACTTCAAAGGAAGCTCCCCAATAAGTCGACTCTTACGACATGCTTTTGGGGAGGCAGTGGGTCTATTCTTATTTTCCCCCACAATGGGGCTCGGGAACCCAGGCAGGGGTGTGGCTTTTCTGTCTACCCACGAGCGTGAACTCGGACTGTCAGGTCAAAACTAAACACAAACGCTCCGGAGAGTTTACCACGTCCTATAAAGGATATGCGACTTGCTCTAACTCAGACAGTCTCAGATAGTGTTGAATTCAACAGTGTAGCCTCATAGAGCTGAAAAATACAGCTTTGGGAGATAATGCGTTATAGTAACAACTGGAAAATAGGGTTAACATAATATAAGAATGGGATAGGAAAAGTAAAGAATGTTTACTGTATATTAGGGCTGTACCGAATATTCGTCGGCTCTGTGTCGATGCGAACGCTTCGCTTTGTAATGCCGGGATGCCAGGTTCGATCCCAGCTGCGGGCAATGCGCCTTGCGTTGGTTTCGACAGTGGTATCAAAAAGAAAGCCGACCGTCCAGCGAGCAATGGCAAACTACTGGATGTAAATTGCCTAGAGAAACCACACAACAGCCAGGGGCTGTTAGGGTTGATTCTGCAACGTCCTGTAAAAGAATACGCAACTAACTAACTGAATATTCGCTTCGTATTCGCTTCGGGGCCGAATAGTGGACCTCTTGACTGTTCGTTATTCGGCCGAATAGTTGCGGTTAGGCCGAATACGAATAGTAGTTACCTTACACCCGCTTCTGTATACACGGCCTTAATGCAGACAAAATTGGCTTTGTTGAAAGCTAATGCAGCTTTCCTGCATTATCTAAGCTGTCAGTGACAATTTCCAAGTTTAGTTACTTGTTATAAAACTTAGGATTTTTTCATTCCTAGTTAATAGTTACCACAGACTGACTGAAGGATGCAAAACATAAAATGTTTTTAAATGTTTACTATTCTGTACGAGTACTAACTAGACATGGAAAGAATATAAACTCCGGCCACATCCAAGTCGATAATATGAAAATCAAAAGAACGGAAATAAATAAGTACTTGGGCGCAAACTTCAACTGCTCCAACATGCTGAGAGAAGAAATACAATCTAGAATACAATCTAGAAATAAAGTATACTATGCCCTTCAACATCTGCTAAGTCAAAGTGTCTGTCTCGCAACACCAAGATCAAAATATATAAAACATTGATAAGACCAGTTGTTTTAAATGTTTCTGAAACTTGAAGCAAAAATAAAAGAGATCAGGCCTTATTACAGGTTTTTGAAAACTTACCTATGACATATCTTTGGACCTACGTAACACATAATCTGTTTAAATCACCATTGATCACTGGCATCATGAGAGCTAAGAGACTAAAATGGTTGGGGCATATTGAAAGAATGTCAGATGACAGAGAAGTAAAAAGTATACACCTGAGAGAGGAATGGGTGTAGACCACGAGGCAGACAAAAAAGAAGTTAGAGAGATAATGTCCAGCCAGACCTGCAAACAACTGGTGTCACAAATTGTAAAGAGAAAACCAGCTAGAGAGATGAATGGAGACGAGTGATATCTGCATCAGTAAACCTCAAGGGCTCAGAATGCTAAAGAGGAAGATGACTGTTATGTGCTACTTTATGTGAAGTAAAAGTTCAGCGTACATTTGACATTATGAATGTTTTTTTTTTTTTTTTAGATATATCTTACACACTATTTGTATTCGTATTCGGCCGAATAGTTGGTCAAGCTATTCTTATTCAGCTGAATAGTTAAAATCACTATTCTGTACAGCCCTACTATATACAGTGTAACAATCAACATATGGTTAGTTCCTTGGTACTACAAGAGGTAATCATCCCGGTTAGCTGGCTGGCTGGCTAGTTGGCTGGCTGGTTGGTTAGTACTAAATGTGTTCAAATATCTAATTATCAATGCCGTCACTGATATCTAACTGAACTTTATCTTTTATCAGTCGACTTACTCAGTCACTTTCATCAAACAGGAGACAAACAGCGGAGGAAAGAGATATAGAGCGACAGGCTGCACACAAATTTCTGCTGAGTCTACGGACCGACGAGCCTGCAAGACCAGTGGGCTACGGAGCTATGTGTGGCATTACACAAACAACTGCCCTCACACGGACTGACGACTCGTCCATACCTGCTACGTGATGTGATCTTCAACACTGTTTGCTGTCTGACATCTGTCTGGAAAGTTTAGTTAATAAATCCTCCCTCACCCCCCCCCCCCTTTTTCTCCCCAAGAATGTGAAATATATTTCTGAAATCTTTGTCTACAAAACTGACAGAAGATTTCTTAGGAAAAATATGCCCCTCCCCCCCCCCCCCCAGAATGAAGCACGTGCGTATGAACACTGTCTAGGAATGTTCCACAAGAACTGTCAAGAAAGTAACTTTTCACCTACAAATGTAACACGGGTACATGAACATGTTACATGAAATGTGACTTCATTTGTTACACATAAAAAAAATTAACTGCCCCCCCCCCCCCCCCCCCCGAAAGGGAAACGTATACACGAACACTTTATCAAGGAAAAAATATGCAACTTGAAAGTAAGGTGTTTTTTTTTTTTTTTTTTACATGAACAGTTTATCAAGATAACGACAGATTTGCACGAAAAGTATTTTTTGTTATTTTTTGTTCACGAATGTAACAAGGGTCATTCTATATGTAAACTGACAAAAAATTTGTCTAAGAAATGAACTGTTTTCCACGACTATGACATGTTTACATGAACATTTTAAACAGAAGATCTGACGAGAAACTTTTCTGTCACAAATATGACGCGAGTGCATCAAAAGAAATTAACTTTTTTTCCACACGAATATGACACGTCTAAATAAACACTTCATCTAGATAATAACAGATTTGCACCCAAAAAAAAAAGTAACCTTTTTCCACAAATGTGGCACGAGTGTTTCAACATTTTATATGTTAACTGACAGAAAATGTGTCAAGGGATGAACTCTTTTGGAACTAAAATTATACGTACATCTACTCGATGAAAACTTTGTCTAGAAAATAACAAAACATATGTCTAGAGAGTCGCTGTTCTCTACCCCCTCCCCCCTTCTTCTTTTTTCTCCATAAATGTGACACGAGTTAATCAACATTATATTTGCAAACTGACAGAAGATTTATCAAGGAAAGTTCATTCCATGAATGTGACATGAATGCATCAACATTCCATGTGGGGAAAATGACAGAAGTCTTGTCACGAAAGTAACTTTGTCCACACGAATATGACACGTCTACATGAACAGTTCAACAACAACAACATATTTGCCTATATTAACGAAGATCGTTTTCAATCAAGACAGACTGGCTGGCTCTGCACAACTTGGTGGGATACTGATACATGATAGGGCAGACGTGGTTAGTGCCTTGTGGGAGAGCGTGTACAATTGGAAGGAGCAGATGGATCACCACAGTCTGGTGAGATTGATGCAGTTGGGGGTGACGAGAGGTTCTGTCAGATGCTCGAGGCTCAGAGGAAAGGCAAGAATGCTACTGGCACCATTAGTATAGGAACTCTTTTCTCGCTGCTGAAGATGGGGACGGAGCGCTTACGGGAATAACCCGAGTGCTGTGATGTCGGTTCTTGAATCAAATCAAATCAAATCAAGAGCGAGCATGCACATAAACATCTGACAGTTAAAGGAGATATTGTTTTAGATACATGTTTACTTTATGACATCATTACGTGATAAAGACGACTTGTATGTTGGAGGCGTATGTGCGCATTCCCGCGCTCACGCATACATGTGTGTGTATGACTGTTGAATTATGCCCTCAGTTAAATGGACAAAAGACCATCTTAAATAGAATTATACCCAACAAAGTCTTGTACACAAGCAAATGTATTTATGCAAGTAAAAATGAGATTCGAAGGCTCCGGTGACTAGGACAGACTCGCAGGATGGAGGATGGGATGGCAGAGTCCACTGGACATTCTTTTACGCTGAATTACAGATAGGTAGGAGAGGTCGATACAAAATATACAGTAAACTATGAAATATCTGGCCTAATGAGTAGGTAGGATAAAACACTACAACGGAATATGCTGGCAGTCTATAAATACTAAGTTTCTATCCTACCGTACAAGGAAAAATATATATTTATACCAGCGGCTCTCAACCTTTCTAATGCCGCCACCCTTTAATACAGTTCCCTCATGTTGTGGCTACCCACACACAATTATTTTCCTTCATAACCTCAAAGAAATATGTATTTTCCGATGGTCTTGTGAAAGGGTCGCGGCCGGTAGGTTGAGAACCGCTCGTTTGTACCAAAATCCGCTCCTATTCATAATTTCTGACCTTTCAAAAGATGTCAGTACTTTATAAATGTTTCTTATTTATTGTTCTGTACGTTGTATTATTTATTAGGAATCAAGGTAGCTCACAAAAACTAAAATTCTAGCTCCACTAGACTGGGCAGCACTCCACTTTTCAGTTTGTGCTCGATTTGTCTTCCAGTCTGCATCTGTACTTTTCCCGTGTTTTTACTTCGAAGTAATAGGTGTCGCCGTTACCCTAGAGCCCAGAAGCCGTTACTCTAGGGCCCAGTCGCCTTATAGCGCCTGGTTTCTCCTCAATAGTTACTAAGTAAAAGTAAAGATACCTTTTCACGCCTTTAGGTGTATCGGGAATATGGAAAGAGCGCGCATATATTTACAGACCAATCGACACTAGGTTGGTAATGTGGTCAGCATTACGCCGGCCGTCTTTACTTCCCCAGGACATACATCCTGGTACTCATTTTAAGCAGGTCGACCTTCGATGCCACATACCATAATAAAATCCGCGCAGCCAGCATTGGATTTCAGTCGCGATACGTTGGAATTACGAGTCAGATTCGCAACGCCTAAACCACAGACGCCGCCATATTTTCTACGAACAATCACTTTATCTTCTACTGTACGTGCAAGCGAGACATGGATGATACAGTTGATTAGGCAGATTCTTGAGAAACTGGTGTCATGTATCGTGCTGCATGGCACGGGGGAGACCAGAATGGGAATATAGATAAGGAAGAAAATGACTGCAGATTAGATTAAGGAGCTGAGCATATGAAAAGAAGAACGTTATAAACAACAAGCATCATGTAATCCCAAGCTCTGTGAAATTGTCCTAACACGAGCTGGTCTTGCATGCCTCAGTCTCCGTGGTCATGCGACGTGACCCCCATGGATCTCTACCGCACAGTGTAACACTATTGCCTGGAAATACTTCCAGATGTCAACAGCATATGAATGGTATCTGAATCGGTTAATTCATCATCGCCGGTCGGAACAGTATTTGGACATTGTCTCAAAGGATGTCTCCTTTGATCTCTTCAACACTGCCGGAGTCCTTTTCAGGACTCTTGGTTGTGTGCAATGTTGAGTTATTTTATATGGCCCCATAACCTAGTCACACTTATAACCTAAAGCTCCCCCTTTGGAGATGCCGGTTGAACGTAACAGTATTTGTTTCCCTCCCAACAAAGCACAGCACGGGAGGGCGAATAGATTAATTTTATCAATGATTATTTGTAGCGGTATCGTCTGACGGATATGTAAGAGGTGACTGAACTGTGTGTATATGTATTTGTGTGGCTTTATTTGTGTGTGGCTGAGTGATTGTTTGTGCGCGCGCGTAAGTGTGTGTCAGTGTAAGAGTTACGTGTAACGTACGCCAGCTTTCAGATGAGATGAAGTGATGATTTTAGCTTTCGCACAAGTGATTACGTGATTTGTCGGAATTTCAAAACCAGGTTTAAGTTATTTGTAAGGAACACAAAACCAAAATAACGTGACTTGTGGAGCGCATTGATGAATCACATTAATCCTTTTGAATAGTTGCGTATCTTCTACAGGACGTTGCAGAACCAACCCCAGCATTTTGTGTGTGTGTGGCTGCTGTGCTTTTTATGAGCAAAGTTTACGTTCAGTAGTTTGCCATTGCTTCCTAATCGGTCAGCTCGGTGCCACTGTCGAAACCAACGCAGGTGGGATCAAACCCGACACCCCGGCATTATGAAGCGCGTTGACCACGCCTAAGCCACAGATGCCAAATAGAAAACTCAAATATAGATTTGGCCTGCTGTATGACGTCACAACTGTAATTTCAGTGCATCACTACAATTTATATATTTATATGTATAATTTAGAATGACTTTTAAATAACTGCTCTTGCCATGTTGTGTTTACTCTTTGATAGATGGTGGCGTGTAAAAATACCGTATATATTCTATTAACAATCATTATGTGAAATGCTTGTATACCAGAATCCAGCCCCAGCAAGGATGCCAAACGTGATACAATCAGTAACACGAATTTTGTACAGAATGAGCATAATTTTGTGATATCAATAAAGTGAAATGATTCAGTTCGACTCAAGCGTTTATGTTTTGTCTGAGTAAATAAGTGTTTTTGCGTTGTTAGTGATTAACACTACGCTTAATACATGACAATTTAACCATATAAGGCAATATTAGCCACTCATCGGACAAGAAACTGCAGTACAAGTTTATCTCTCTCTCTCTCTCTCTCTCTCTCTCTCTCTCTCTCTCTCTCTCTCTCTCTCTCCCTGTGTGTGTGTGCGCGCGCGCGTACGTGAAAACAAGAGAGAGAGAGAGAGAAAGAGAGAGAGAGATGTGTGTGTATTTTGGGAGACAATGGTGACGTGTGAGCGTTTGTGTCTAGGTGTGATTGTGTGTGTGGGTGCACGTGTATGAAAAAAAGAGAGTGCGAAAGGTGTGTGTATGTGGAAGAAAGACACAATGGTGATGTGAGAGAGAGAATGTAAGTGTGTGTGTACGGGTGTGTCTGTGTGTGTGCTTCTGAGTATGTGCATCTGTGTGTGTGCGTATGTGTGTGTGTGTGTCTGTCTCTGTATGTGTTTACGTCTGTCTGTGTGTGTGTCTGTCTGTCTGTGTATCTGTCTGTGTGTCTGTCTGTCTCTGTGTGTGTCTCTGTGTGTGTGTCTGTGTGTGTGTGTGTCTGTATGTGGGTGCGTCTGTCTCTGTGTGTGCGTCTGTCTGTGTGTGTGTGTCTGTATGTGTCTCTGTATGTTCGTCTGTGTGTGTCTGTGTGTTTGTGTGTGTGTGTGTCTGTCTGTGTGTGTGTGTCTGTGTTGTGTATGTCGGTCTGTCTGTGTGTGTATCT